TACTAGTTTTCAAGTTATGCACTGGACAAAAAAGTAACAAAGGGCAATAACTGTAATTTGACCAAATAGTTATGGTTCTTGTGCACTGCAATTCATCTCACTGCCCTTGACCATTGTATGAAGTTTCATTGAATTCCAACAATTAATTTTCAAGCCAAGTACGGGACAATAAAAAGTAACAAAGGGCAAAAACTCTTAAATGAGTCAAGATTGAGTTATGGTCTCTTTGCACTGCGCTTTCTCTCAATATACTTGACCATTGTATGAAATTGTATTGAATTCAAACTTGTAGTTTTCAGGTTATGCTTTGGACAAGAAAAAAGCAACAGAAAAGTAACAAAGGGCAATAACTCAATAATTTCTCTGGAAAGAGTTATGGTTCTTGTGCACTGCACTTCCTCTTATTGTGCTTGACCATTTGTATGAAGTTGTTTGAATTCCAACCAGTAGTTTTCAAGTTATGCTTCAGACAAGGAAAAGTAACAAAGGGCGATAACTCTGTAATTAGTCAAAATGAAATAATGGTTCTTGTGCACTGTACTTCCTCTCAATGTGCTTGACCATTGTATGACGTTATACTGGATTCCAACCATTAGTCTTTAAGTTATGGTCCGGACAAAAGAAAGCAATGGAAAAGTAACAAAGGGCAATTACATTGTAATTACTGTTATGGTTCTTGTGCACTGCACATCCCCTTATTGTGCTTTATCATTGAATGAAGTTGTTTTGAATTCCAACCAGTAGTTTTTAAGTTATGCTCTAGACAAGGAAAAGTAACAAAGGGCAATAACTCTGTAATTAGTGGAGATAGAGTTATGGTTCTTGTGCACTGCACTTCCTCTCAATGTGCTTGACCATTGTATGAAGTTGTATTGAATTCCAATCATTAGTTTTTAAGTTATGCTTCGGACCGCTGGACTGACTGACCACAGAATGACTCCTATATACCCCCCCAAACTTCGTTTCGGGGGTATAATGATCAGTGAATCATGATCTCTGAAACAAGAATATAACAATAATACATCTTAATAATCTATTTGTAATTTTAAAATGGGTACTGTAAATTTACTGACCCTGTTACACAGTGGTGACATGGTTAACGCTGAAACACCAACATAGTAGAATAATGTATAACACAATATTAAAAACAGGGAATGACTTCAAAATGGTTTTATCAAAATATTAATAAAACAGCACAAGGATTAACATTTGTTTAAGCAAATTAGGAATGCTGACTGCCGTTTCCCAAATTCTGCAATAGTTTTTTTCTTAATTGTTTATAAAATATATGCTACTTCTAAAATGTTAAAACTGATAATCTAAAATATTGAATGTGTATAAAATAGACTGACTCCTCTATATATGCTAGTTTTATCTTGGCTGTATTGCTCAGCTCTATATTGGCCATCACTATTTTGGCTGTATTGGCCAGTACTATATTGGCCAGCACTATTTTGGCTGTATTGGCCAGCACTATCTTGGCTGTATTGGCCAGTACTATATTGGCCAGCAGTATCTTAGCTGTATTGGCCAGTACTATATTGGCCAGCACTATTTTGGCTGTATTGGCCAGCAGTATCTTGGCTGTATTGGCCAGTACTATATTGGCCAGCACTATTTTGGCTGTATTGGCCAGTACTATATTGGCCAGAAGTATCTTGGCTGTATTGGCCAGTACTATATTGGCCAGCACTATTTTGGCCAGTACTATATTGGCCAGCAGTATCTTGGCTATATTGGCCAGTACTATATTGGCCAGCACTATTTTGGCTGTATTGGCCAGTACTATATTGGCCAGAAGTATCTTGGCTGTATTGGCCAGTACTATATTGGCCATCACTATTTTGGCTATATTGGCCAGTACTATATTGGCCATCACTATTTTGGCTATATTGGCCAGTACCATTTTGGCCAGCACTATTTTGGCTATATTGACCTGCATTATATTTGCTGTATTAGCCAGCTTTATCTTGGCTGTATTGGGCAACTCTATATTGGCTGTGTAATGGTCATTATTGTTGAATGCATTCTAAAAGTTCTTTATATGTTGTTAATATTGTGCAACACTTTATATCACTATTAGTAAAATCCTTTCTATCTATACACAGACATAAACTCTGTTGACACCAGATATACAAAAAACATTTACAGCAACTCCCATTACAATAATAAATACATGTACATAATTTAATATATATGTCATTCACACACTTTTTGCAAAGCTCTTTTAACATTATACACTCAACAACTGGCAAGACTTGTACTAATACAACACAACATAAATTGTGGAGCCATTAAGGTTGATCTGTAGAACTGCCATAAAAGTAATAACAGTCTGGTTTTTACAATCAAAAACAATATTTAACGATATTTGAAATGGACATAAATACTCAAATGTTTTAGTATGCCTATATAAGTTCATACTGCCATATTACACCACTATAAAACAGATTTACAATGTCAATATGTTTCTTGACCAGAGACTTGTATTCTGTGTAAGCTACAATGGCACAAGCATGTCAGTACCAAGTGAGATCTCTAGCTGACCAAGCAAACTTTTCACATATACATTAGTCACAGATCAAGATACTTATACTTTTAAAATTTCAACATAAATCTTAACATAATTCATATGTACATGTAACACTAATTATCATTCCCGTCTAATTTCTAATTTTTTATCGCAGCAGATCATAAGCATAATTAAATACATACTGGACAAAACTTATATCTAGGTACCTTTAATGACAAAATTTACATCTAGGTACCTTTAATATCTATAGATATATCTATCTCTTAATCACATCTTCATACATTAAAAAATAAAATAATGCCCAGAATCTGAACTATTCTAAAATTAGACAATGATATGATATTCACACAAATAATTATATTACATCCTTGGGTAAAAATATCTCTTTCCTGACTGTCTATATAACTACTACAATAAAGTATTCAAATTTAGTACTTCATATCCAAAATACATCTCTATTTAAAATTCAGTAAAATAATCATGCCTTTAATTACAAGTATTTTTTTTTTTTGGTTGGGGTTTACGTCTCCACAACATAGTATAGGGTATGTTGAGACTTTCAAGCTTTACTGGTGGAGAAAGACCTCAGGTGCCCTTTCGTGCATTATTTCAGGCACAAATTGACAAATGAGTAAAACCACAGACGTTCTGTAAGCTAGCTGGATAGCTTCCAAAAGTGAAGATTAAACCATTGTCTTATTAAATCAATGTAACTCTATTATACTAATTATCCAGTTTTCCAAATACAGCATGTGTCATGAAAACTAAATGAGCCCCGTCATGACAAAACCAACATAGTGCGTTTGCGACCAGCATGGATCCATGCTGTTCGCTTACCAACCCTTTTACAAGTAGAGAAAATAATAGCGAACAGCATGGATCCTGATCAGACTGCGCGGATGCGCAGGCTGGTCTGGATCTATGCTGGTCGCAAACGCACTATGTTGGTTTTGTCATGACGCGGCTCAAATAATAAACTGCATTGTAGTTATGAAAATGTTTAATGGGTAAAAGCACCTTTTGAAACTTAATAGACATGTTGCCTATATATAAATTGTGATGAAGATTACAATTTATATGTTTTGTTAATAATATAGTAAATCAAATCAAATCAATGAATATTTACAAAATATGGTCAAGGTATTCAATGATGATACATAGAGAATTGAAACTATAATGATGTAAAACAGAATTTTTTTTTAAGTATCGGTGCCGTACAACTTTGGTATATTTAATTAAGCAAGAGATACAATGTACAATAATTAAAATGTACTTGAACTACCAGATCATGTAAGTTCTCTGTTATTCTCAATATAAATGTTAATTCATTAACAAGAGGACCCAGAGGGTCCTGGATTGCTCACCCGAGCGCCCCAGAAGAAATAGCGAAAATTAAAACATTGGGAACAAGAGCTGTCACGCAAGTGATGAATGCCCCCGAAAAGGTTTCTTAAGCATGCAGGTATTATAAAAAGAAAAGAGAATGAAAGTAACTAAATGCTTAATATTGTTCTTGTGAAATTAAGTGTCACTTATAGCAAACTGAACATCTTGGGACAAAGATCTTGGATGTGACACATCATCTTGATGTGGTAGACATTTATGCAAAGTTATTATAAAATCCTTCAATACATGACAATGTTACAGTTTCGAAACTAATGTGTACCTTCAAACTATTAGAGTGATCTTGACCTTGGAAGTAGAAACATGGGTCTTAGACACAACATATCATCTTGATGTGGTAGACATTTGTGCCAAGTTATCATAAAACTCTTCATTGCATGACAAAGGTATAGTCCATACAGGAATGTAGGTTACCTATAACCTCTAATTGTGATAGTGTGAACCTTCAAAATACAAGTGTGACCTTGACCTTTGAAGAAGGGATGTGGTTCTTAGACGCTACACAATGTTGTCATGTGATAGTCATTTGTGCCAAGTTATTTCAAAATCCTTCAATGCATGACAAAGTTACAGTCTGGACATGATTGTTGTGTAAGTGGGGATGGACAGACGGACATGAGCCTTAGCCTTGACACATCGTCATGTTAAGTTATTTTAAAATCAAAGTTATAGTCGGGACATGAATGTGTCAATAAACTTAAACTGTGATAAAGTGATCAAAATGGTAGTGTGACCTTGACCTTTGAGGTAGGGACAAGATAATTGGATGCATCACAACATCTTGATGTGGTAGACATTTATGCCAAGTTATTCTAAAATCCATTCATGCATGACAAAATTACAGTCTAGACACAAATGTGTGTACCAATAATTAAACTCTTATTGTGATAAAAGTGAAACTTCAAAATGTTAGTGTGACTTTGACCTTGGAGGTAGAGACATGATCATTGGACGCGACACATTGTCTTGATGTGGTAGACTTTATGCCTACTTATTTTAAAATACTTTGATGCATGACAAAGTTACATTCAGGACACCAATGTGTGTACCTATTTACTTTAGGCCAACGGCAACATATTTTTACTTATTCATTTAATGTTACTTTATCAGTATGAATTACTCGCAGTGGCCTATAGGAAACTAGAAGGGTTTTTGTCACAAAAAATTTTTGTGAGACATAATTTTATGTCTGCTTCACCTTGAAATAACTCCTTAAGGGAGACAACAATTGTTTGATGACATCAACACACCAACTTCTGCCCAGTAGGGCCTGTCTTTCCTTATCTAAAAATAATCCTGCATCGGTGTAGTGGTCATGAAAGCCAAATAATCTGAAATAAATAAATAAACCATTAAAAAATGCTATAAAGTGTAAATATACAACATAAAAAAATAGCACAAACATTTTCCTTATCTGATATCACCATTCATAATGCCTGTAAAAAACTTCACTAAATCACTAAAAGTAGGCATCAGTATTACTTTCTATTTCAACATTTATTTCATTTAAACAGTCAGTTTATCATCAATGTGCCAACACAAGCTTTGTGTAAGGAAATAGAAATTTAAACCATTCACACCTTAAGTACAATCAAAATGTTACAACATGTTTCCATAGCAACATGTCACAGACATTTATTTTACATATTTTTATTATTCTAGGAGCAATGTGTTCAGATACTTATTGTTATAAAGAGGTTTAGACAAGACACATATTTTATTTACTGCTCCAGAGAGGTATTGCTTATAGCAATGTGCTCCGAGACCAAACATGTATATTTTTCTTTTGTCTACCAAACATGTATTTTTATTGCTTTAGAGAGGTGATGCAATTATAGCACTATCTTCAGAGACAAGGTACATATTTTCATTATTCAAGAGAATTGTTGCTAATTGAACCCCACCCCCCCCAAGTACTGGTAAGTACTAGACATAAAGCTTTATTTATATATTTATCATGGCATGCAAATTTCATTTTCGTATTGATGGTTCCCATAGTCTTGTTGAAATCAATCCAGAGGCAAGGACAATATGTTCAGAGGCAAGACAAGGACAACATGTTCAGAGGCAAGACAAGGCAAGGACAATAATTATGTTCAGAGGCAAAACAAGGCAAGGACAATGATTATGTTCAGAGGTAAGACAATGCAGGGAAAATATGTTCAGAGGCAAGACAAGGCAAGGACAATATGTTCAGAGGCAAGACAAGGCAAGGACAAGATGTTCAGAGGCAAGACAAGGAAAGGACAATATGTTCAGAGACAAGACAAGGGAAAGACAATAAGTTCAGAAGCAAGACAAAGAAATGACAATATGTTCAGAGGCAAGACAAGGCAAGGACAATATGTTCAGAGGTAAGACGAGGCAAGGATAACATGTTCAGAGGCAAGACAAGGAAAGGACAATATGTTCAGAGGCAAGACAAGGCAAGGACAATATGTTCAGAGGTAAGACAAGACAAGGACAATATGTTCAGAGGCAAGACAAGGAAAGGACAATATGTTCAGAGGAAAGACAAGGCAAGGACAATATGTTCAGAGACAAGCCACAAAATATATTCATTGCTATAGAAATTTTTTTTTTGGGCTCCACAGACATGTTGTTGACAGCAATATAAACACTTGCAACTACTGTTAAAAAAGAATTGCTGTGATGAGATGATCGTAACTGTAAATCACTTACCTTTCAATTTCTGGTATCCAAATTGGAACAGGTACCCCATCCATTAAAACAAGATGGTCGTTTTTCCCGTTTGTAATTGTTAGTGAGTTAGCACTGGTGGTAATGGTTCTGGAATGGGGTATCTACAAAATACAATGTTCATACTATTTTCCAGACCAAAGCCAACAAGAGCCATGTTAACATGGCCATCCCCTACCTAATGTGTTTGCTCATTGGAAGAATGTATAAATTATGTAGTAGAGCAGAATAATTCAATTTTCAGAGGTCTTTTGGTAATGAAAACATGTGGCTGAAGTGGTTACAAATTTGAAACCTATGTGAATACTGATGGCTGAAAATAACAAAGGGCAATAACTGAAAAATAATGCTGGGTAGGTTATCATTCTTGTGCGCTGCATTCCTCCTCAATGAAGTTTCAAGTTGATACCTGTAACACATTTTGAGATAAGCTCCCGACAAAAAGTATGAAAAATAACAAAGGACAATAACACAAAAATTATAAAGGGTAAAGTTATCATTCTTACGCACAGCACTCTTCCCCAATAAGATAAATCCACATTTGAAGTTTCATGCTGATATCTCAGACTTTTAGAGTTATGCTCCACTCAGGTGAAAAATTAAGTATGAAAAATAACGAAGGGCAATAACTCAAAAATTATGAAGGGTAAAGTTATCATTCTTGTGCACTACACACTTCCTGAGTAAAATCTATCCACCTATGAAGTTGTATGTTGATATCTCAAAAGCTTTTTAAGTTATGCTCTGGACAAAAATTAAGTTTGAAAAATAACAAAGGGTAATAACTGAAAAATTTTACAGGGTAGAGTTATCATTCTTGTGCAATGCACTCCTCCTCAATATAATCTATCCACCTATGAAGTTTCAAGTTGATACTGCATTTACTTTTTGAGATATGCTCCGGACAAAAATGTCAGACGGAAGGATGGGTGGATGGACGGAAGGACAGAGACTATTTCTATATCCCCCGCCGTCTTACGGCGGAGAATAATAAACAAATAAATAATGTTGATAATTTAATCACATAACCGCTAAATGTTTTCAATGAAATATAACATATTTCTTTACATTACATGTGTCGAATATAAAATAACTCAATTAAAGATAAATTTGCAATATTTTGGTGTTTTCATGCATTTTATAACATGAAGAATGTTCAATTCCTCTGATATTGTCTTTATGAAATGAGAACAAACATGATAACCTACATGTGTTTCATCCATTAAGGTAATTTGTAAATGATTCAACTAATTTATTTTACTTCATCTTAACCTTGGATAGATTCAAATATTCTAGATCTGATACATAGGCGAGAGAAAGCATATGCAAGGTATAGAAAAAGTCGTAACAATTCTGACAAGATTTTGTTCAATAAACTTCGCAATGAAGTACAACGATCTATAAAATTGGCAAAATCTGAATACTTCAAAGGGCAAATATTAGATAATAAGAACGACAATAAGAAACTATGGCAGAATATCAAATCCCTTGTTTACAGTAACAATAATAAAGAAAGTCCGAAAATATTGTTTTGTCGATTGATGGTGAAACTTATCACGATCCTTGTAGAGTTGCTATAGTCATTTTAATAATTTCTTTACAAATATTGCATCTAATTTAGTACAGAAACTCCCGGCAGCAAAAAATTTTTATAGTGTGGCATCCGATACAATTAAGAATTTTTATAGGAACATATCACAAAAAAGAGTTTCACCTTCATCATGTAAGTGAGGAGTTTGTATATAAAGAATTATGTAGGCTTAATATAAGCAAAAGCACTGGATTAGATGGTATCCCCGCAAAATTTCTTAAAGATGGTGCTGATGTGTTAAAAATCCCTATAACTTATATTGTGAATTCTTCAATAACAGAGGGGGTTGTCCCAGATGATATGAAAATTGCTAAAGTAAAACCTCTACACAAAAAGAATAGTAAGCTAGATGTCGGGAATTACAGACCAGTTAGTATTTTATGTATTGTATCCAAGATTCTAGAACGGGCCGTGTATGTACAATTTGAGTCATTTCTAAGAACTAATAATCTAATTTACGAACACCAGTCCGGGATTCAACTGACACATGTCTTATTTACCTACTTGACTATATCCGTACAAATAGCTCCAAAGGGTTACTCACTTGTATGGTTATGATGGACTTACAAAAAGCATTTGATACCGTCAATCATGATATTTTGTGTGATAAATTAGATATATTAGGTGTCAAATCTATTTCTTGGTTTAAATCATACTTGTCAGGAAGGTATCAGAAAGTATTAGTATTGGTAAAGTTTTTCCTGACTCAATTCCTATTACGTGTGGGGTCCCTCAGGGCAGTATTTTGGGTCCTCTTCTATTTCTCTGCTACATTAATGACAATTGGTAACTAGTATCGATTCTGATTGCAAGTTAATTTTATATGCAGATGATAGCACAATATTATTTTCGCATAAGGATCCAAAAATTATAGCCCAAATACTTGGAAAGGTCTTGGAAAGATGCTCAGATTGGTTAGTTGATAATAAATTATCTCTACACCTGGGCAAGACTGAATGTATGCTATTTGGTTCTAAATCAAAAATTAATGAACTACAAAATTTTTCCATTTCATGTGATGATCAAACAATAAAGTCTTTGTCTGAAGTTAAATATCTTGGTTTGAATAAAGACAACACTCCTAGAACTTCGGTGACAAATAAGGTTCTGTCCGATCTTAAATTATTAAATGTCAATGATATAGTAAAACAGTTAAGACTCAACCACATTCATAAAGTTTATTACAACAAAAGCCCTTCTTATTTAAAGGAATTGTTTAAGGTTTGTAGAATATCCAATTTAAGATCTAGTAATTTTAATTTTGTTTTACCTCAAAATGATTCTTATGTTAAAAATACATTTTTCTACAATGACATAAAAGACTGGAATTCTTTACCAGACAACATTAGATCAATTGACAATATCCAAACATTTAAAACGAAAGTAAAACTTTTTTTCAGTAATGAAAATGATAAACTAGTGAATAATATGTTTATTTTATAATTATTAAATTGATGCCTAACTTATGATAAGGTTTTGTAACATGTTTATGTTGTACTTGATATGTTTTAGTTTAAACGAAATTTATTTCATTTTGTTTGTGTACAATGTACTTGTCTTATTATATTGAAAAATGTGTCTTGATTGTTGAAAATTGTCATTTATTTTAACTTCTTTATAATTCATTTATTATTATGTAAGTTAGTGTAATAATTTTACAGTAAATGGACCCCATTGGAAATAAGCTTTTAGCTTAATGGGCAATCCTAGGGTTACATAGAACATACTCATTAATTAATCTTATAATTATTTTTGTTGCATTTTATGTGTGTGTTTTTATATATATGCAAGTTGATATATGTGATAACATTGTATGTGTATATGTCTATTCCCTGAATAAATCGATACGATCATCACTAGTCTATACCTACTATTTATTAGAAAGCAGAAGCTGACCAGCTTAGCTCAATAGGAAGAGTTTCAGATTTGTAATCCTGGGGCAGTGTTTCAGTTTCACACAACAAGACTTCCTACAGGCATTGCTGAGGCCGAGTTTCACACAGTTAAACTTAAATGATATTTTACGATATAAGTCTATATAAATCAAGTTACCCCCTAAGCAGGGCCTGTGAATACTGACCAAACGGGCATGATTAAAACCAGTTGTGTAAATGTCCGCAAGGGAATTTCTGACAAACACAAACATGCTTCTGCAGATTGTCTCATTATAAGTAAAATTTCTTCCAATAGTTTTAATTTCCTTCTATGGGTTCTTAAATTTAATAAATTCATACTTTAAAAATATCTGTTTGCTATTGCCAACCCAGGGTTAGAAAGAATGGGTCGGTAGCTAGCCTTTTTTTTGATGATATAATTTTTTTGGTTTTCCCAGAACGTAAGTAAAATTCGCTTGGTTGTAGCAAATGAATTGTGAAAATTTGGACATCATCATCGGCGATAACAAAACTGACATGTATTAATAGGCAGTAAAAATCAAAGACATTTTCACTAGTAATCATAACATGAAAAAAAAAATTACTTTGTAGACAGAAATTCAAGTGGTCAAATTACTGATGTGATACACCTCTAAATTCTGCCTAAAATTAACAAACAACCTGGAAAATTTTATTTTAATACAACATGGCAGTATTTCAAAGACAATTGTTGCAATATAATCTTGAAGATTGTGCAATACTTGACACCATGCACAATAATGCAAGCTTCCAAATATTTATTTGTCGGTCGATGTTATGACAGAATCGCCACTGCTACAAAAAATATTTTTATTGCAGGGGCCAAGTAATTAATCTGTATGGGTAGTCATAAACCAAAACACATTAAAACTATCATGTGGTAAATTAGTGACCATATAAATACTTTATGAATATTCATTAGTTGAACAAACATTATTCATTATTTCTAATCCAGTTTCCAAGCCTCATTTTGATAATTCTAGAAGTAGTTAATTGCGACGTGCATTCAGTACCTGCATGACCTTAGGAAAACCCCTACCCTGGCTGGTCGCTATTTATGTAAATACTTTTAATAGTAACATCCTAATTTTATGCACAGAATGCCCTCATGAATGATCAATCTTTATGATATCACACTTTACATATTCATGTTTCTTCGAATTTTATTTTTGTTTTTGAGGGGATTTTTTTGGCCGAGTGCATGCCCTGACTCGGCCGTTCTCAGTTAGAATTTACACCCTTAGTTTTTACTTGTCGCCACCGTCTATCCTCATTATTGCAGGTTATTTGCCTGTAAATCTATGCTGGTTTAAGAAGGTAGATGTTACCTTAAATAACACACAATAACTCGCCATTTGATCATGAATAATTGTTTAATAATATTCACCTAAAGTTACGAAAATGACAGGTTCGTGATTGTCGCCGTCCAATTTATAAAAAGTGAATGTGTATTTAGATGCTTTAATTGTATTGTTTTAATTTTCTTTGATGCCGTATTATTTTGGAACAATTCACGACTATAAATTTGTAAATTAGATCTCAGTAACAATAATTCATAAAAAATGGTAAGGGATTAGTGTTTGTCGCCGGATAGTATGAAATGTTCGTTATCCTTTTAACCATATATTGCAAGTGAAGTGTTTTTATCATTGAAACAACTTTAGATGTTCTTTTTTGTATTAATATCAAAATATAATACTTTCATATTATCACCATGTTCATAGTGTGCACAATTTTTTTATTATTTATGTAGAATTTAACGTTGTGATGTGGTTTGGGTTAAAATTGAAAGGTTCGTTACCTGATTGAAAGGGTTTATGACTACAATATGTACCCCGAGCACATCAAATGTTCTAAGTTACGTAAAAATTAGTATTTTATGCCAAAAATGAAACATTTTGTTGCTGTTTAAACAACATTATTGAATCTGAAATATGCTGAGAAAAGGTTCGTGATGAAAGGTTCGTGCGGTGATATATCTTACTCGATGCCGCCTACACTATGCTTGTTTGTAAACGGCTGCGGATAACAAACATATGTACTATGATGTCATTTGGGTTGAAACGTTTCAACTCTTTCTATAATGGTTGCTTATTATTCGCAGCGCATGTTATAAACATGATCGAGAATTCCCATCAAAATCCTTTGGCAAGTGATTTTGATACTTTTCATGATTATTAAATTTCAAGAAAATTTTCTATTGCCTACCGAATCACAAACGATATTGGTTTCAAATGAAATAAGCGAATTTATATTTTTATGATGTTTATCAATACCATGTCAGATTACAAACAAGGAAAGGTTCGTGACCATTAGTCACGAACCTTTCCTATGATAATTTATATGAATAAAATAATATATCTTATCCTGTAATGTATATAATATTATTTAAGAAAAATCTTGTGAGTATATCTTGTTTATACAGAAAAAGAACATCAAAAGAATGTCTGATTTTTACAAGACGTTACAACTGAAAAAGATGTATGTAAAAAATAAACCTCGTACTCGCCCGAAAAGCTTGTTTTATAAAAAAAGCAAATAAACATTATATTTGTGTGATTATAAATTCAAAATATGAAGTGAATTTAAAACAATTCTATAAAGATAAATTATTATGATGAGGAAAACATGATAAAATAAACATTTAACTCCATGAAAGGTTCGTTGTCTTGGGCCACGAACCTTTCAAGTAAAAAAACCGTCTTTTTCAAGCTAGACAATTGTAGCTTTGGAATTACTTTTAGTGCAGACAATTATGCTGAAGTCTAAACCTGAAAACATGCGGTAATTCAGTAAAATAATAAAACAAGAAGATTCGGAAAAATATCAAGAATATATTACTAGTATTACAAGCATGAAAATATACGTTGCTTCTTCAATGTTGTGAAATTGTGATTAACCTTTTGAAAACTAATATTTGCGTGACATATTGCAATGTCCAGTAGGCGAAGAAAAGATATGGCTGAACCCAAGGACACGCCCTAAAAGGTTATGAAGCCAAGAGAAACAAGATATTCGCGGAGGTCATTTAAATAATTGGGAGGTGACAACATTGAATTGGTCAATTCTTTGTTTGTTGCAAAAAAGCAGTTTCAGTGAATAACGAACATATCATTTAATTTAGAGAAATTGACTCCGATCCTATAATTTGATATGCTTGCGTTATATAGCTAATATTTTTTTATACTAGCTGAATGTTTCTCTTCGTAAAAAGCTTATGTTTATTTGTTTTAAAAGTAAAATCTAGTATTATTACCATATTGACACGTTTTCATTGGATTGAATTAGTTGTTATAAATTGAAGAAAACATTTATAAATTGTTTTACTACAGATGCCATTCCAATTTAATATCATTTTTGAGAAATGAAAAGATTACAATAGATATCATTAGGTAATGAATATAATTGTATTCGAATGTCTATATCCGAACTTTATATCTGAATATAAATGTATCTATATTAGCATCAAAATTTTGATTTGACAATGAAAGGTTCGTTATTTTATATACCATATCTGAATTGAAAAAGTTAGTGAATATATGATTAAAATCTTAGCACCAGCAATGTATTTGATCTGGTAAACTGTTCTACTTCTTGATACATGTTTATCTTTTAATTAAGGTGTTGTTGTTTCAATTGTTTTAGACTGATATGCTGTATTGCTATTTCTTTAGTTACTATCATTTTACATATTCGATGCTTTATTTTACTACAAAATAATGTGAACCAGTATACTATAAAGTCAAGAAAGATAATGGGTTTTATACTAAATATCATTGTCTGATGTCTATATGTATGCTTTGGGGTATTAAGTGGGCTTCTTTTTTGTTTGAGTTTATGGTTGAAAGGTTCGTTAGCTTTACATAGTACTTAAATTTTAGTAAGGTGATCAATTTACCTAATAATAAAGCATATACATCGCATACAATTGCTAGCAGAGATACTACGGTTTTTATTTATGCCAAGAACTATACTTATTACACTGGGTCGTAGCTCTTATAATAATGAGACAAATCGTAATCACAGTTAAGCAGTATATCTTGATTTGCACTTTTTGCATATGAGTTTTTAAAAAAGTATATAAGCTTAATTAGTCAAGTAATTCGTGATATCAATTGTACAATTAAAAATTTATGTACCATGTGATATTTAAAAGTAAATTCCAATAAGATATCATCAATGTAATTATAAGCAGCCCTTTTTAGAGTAAACGGTACTTTGTCACGAACATTTCCGGCATTTTAAAAAGGTAAAATGGATACACTTTTCAAACCGCCGATTTACAAAAACTACTTATATGATGTTGAAAATAATTTCAGTAGAACTTCACAGATGGTTTAAGTTTGTAAAAAGACTAACAGTTTTGCGTTTTTGCGAATCTGTATTTTTTATAAAATTTTGATAGGGGTGTAAATTCTAACTGAGAATGGCCGTGACTGATTTAGTGGAAATAAAAAAAAATCTAACTTTTTAGTTGGGGGCATTTTCAGTCAGTCGGCCAGCAATAGCAAACATATATTTTTAAGAGTGGCCTAATGACTAAGCCTGACCTTGCCCTAAGAAAAGTCTGCACATGATCATTTTATGGGTAACATATATATTCTGCCAAGTAGTTACAATGTCCTTTTATTGGTTCAAAATATACACAGCAGACATGAAACTGCTAACAGACAGATGGATGGACTGATGGACAGAAAACCAGGTGCATAACAAAATAAGCCACTCTGAACTTTTTGGGCGACTATTACTAAACAATTTTCATGTTTAACCTAAGTTATTGTTTAAGATTAAATAAGACTACTTTTTTGTCATTCTAGAACTATAATTCAGTCACCATAAAATTTTTCACCATACCAAGATGTTTTATAGAATATTAAGTAACATTACACTCTCCAATATTTACCCGTGCCAATCTTCCACATTTATATACTGCATGGCTAAGATCTTTCTTTTCACTTTCCAAAAGTTTATTTAACTCTGGCTGAGTGAACATTCCTGGAATGTTTCCCCAGAAGTTTCGTGCTCGTCTCTGACCAGAAAAGTGTTTGGCATCCCATTTCGCCGGTTCCATCTATAAAAAGAGGGAAGAAATTCTATTCTACCAAGTATAATAAGAAGCAATAATTAATAGGGTACATAGAAAAAATCCCATGTGTTATTGATTAGACATTTACACACCATTTTAATTTGCATAATAATTTTCATATTCCTGATTTCATTATCATATAAATGACACTGAACACAATTAACTACTGTATTCTTCATTACACACATCATTTTAAATGAACTTTTTTTTTTTAACTTTGACAGATTATAATCTCACAATGATTTATAAAGACACATAATTATGCCAGTTTTGTCTTTTCAGGCACCATAACTCAGGCTGTTTGGTTTATTCAAATAACAAGAGGGCCATGATGGCCGTGAAATCACTCACCTGTATATAGGCCCCCGGGGTGGGGCCAATTTTAACCCAGGGGCTTTTATTTGAACAAACTTGGTAGACACCCATTTGAAGATGTTTCATGATAAATATTTAAGCACTAGCTGCAAGAAGATTTTTTAAGTTTTTACTATACACATATAGGGAAAAACAATGACCCCCCTCTGGGAGGGGCCAACTTTGTCCTCAGGGCTTTTATTTAAACAAACTTGGTAGTCACTCACTAGAAGATAGTTCATTCTTAATATCTAAACTCTAGCTCTTTGGGTTTTTTAAAAGAAGATTTTTTTAAGTTTTTACTTTATACATAGCTAAGGAAAATCAATGATCCCTGGGGCGGGGCCAATTTTAACCCAAGGCCCTTATTTGAACAAAAATGGTAGACACCCATTAGAAGATGTTTCATGCTAAATATCTTAGCTGTAGCTCTTAGGTTTTTTTTAAAGAAGATTTTTTAAGCTTTTACTATATACATAAAGGATAAAACAATGACCCCCTGGGGTGGGGCCAATTTTGACCCCAGGGCATTTATTTGAAAAAAACTTGGTACACACTAACTAGTTGATGTTTCATGCCAAATATTTAAGCTCTAGCTCTTTCGGTTTTCTAAAGTTATTATTATTTTAAGTTTTTTCTTTCAGTTGCCATGGCAACCAGTTTTGCTTAGAATTAAATTCTTTGAACATTTTTTAAAGTTGACTACCAAAGGAATATTCCTGTGAAGTTAGGATGAAATTGGTGTAGCCATTTATGAGGAGATGTCGTTTAAAGTAAAAGTTTAAGGAAGGACGATGGACTGACGGACGCCTGACGAAATGCAATCAAGAAAAGTAAGTCACATCGGCAAGATTTGTTTTTCACAAAAACTTTCTGGTTCATCCAGTTCATTTGTTTTTTGGGTCATTTAATTTATTGTCTTTGATGGAACATGTTGGTACAATGTTAAAAAGATTTGAGTAATTTGTTTGAAGAAAGTTTTAAAATGGATAATAAAAAATTTGAATCCTACTTTACGATTTATCATTTCTAAAGAGAATTTATATCTAAAAGATAAGTATGAATATCTTTTTTATTGTGCTTTTTATGAAACATTTGTAACTATGCTGTAAGCAAATTACTGCCAATCAAAAATATTTTGCCGCTCGTTCACACATTGATCACGCATTCTCAATACCATTTACAAATATTGAATCACGGAAAGTGAAAAAAATGATGTTCAGAGATCATAAAAATAATGCTTGAATATGGAAAAAGAATATCTCCCGGACATAAATTTGAATTCTTGCAAACAAGATACGAACCATGTTCTCTCAGTTCCATATCAAATTGAGCAGGTCATTCTTATAAAAACAGGCACAGAAATGTACGTTACTTTGAGTGTCCCTTAATTTAGCAGCTCATAATCATGTAACTGTTGACCTAGTCAGTAATTTTGTTTTCACAATTCCATTCTCAAATGATGTAGGATGGAATTAAACACATTTTTTGTTTAATCATACCAATATATTCAGGTTTTTGGAATGTTAAAACAATAACAAATTTTACAGATGAATGATACATATTTTACTATTTCAATGCATACTTCGAAGTTCTTTACAGATTTATCAATGAAAAGCAGTTCGACATTAGAATGCTGTTGATTATTTATGATACATATAAACTCCTCGTTGTAAACTAATTCATGCATGTAGCAGTTGTTATTTCACCCAAAATGCCTTTAAAGTAATGTAATAATTTAGTAACGTACATTTTAGTTTAATACAAAAAAATATAAACAGTGAATTCATTAAGAAATCTGACAGGAATGGAAAAACTTAAAATCTCTGTTTGGTATTTATTCCTTTTGTAAACATTTGAACTGTTAATTACAAAAATCATCAACGCTTGGTCAGAATAAGATATTGTATATGCATACAGAAATAAGATGTATTTTAATTGATGATTCTGTTCATATAAGGTGAAAAGTACATGTAAACAGCATTATATGTGCATATTTAACCATTTATGACAACATACGTGTATGATAATTAAAATGCTTTAAAATATCAATCTTTAGCATTTTTGAAGACTCTCTTAAAGACTTTATTAAATACTGTTGTAAACTCTCATTGGTAACGTACATTTCAGTTTTCTGGCATGGGTGTTCAGTGACTGTTGTACATTAAAAGACACCAATTAATATTTAACATTATTAACAAAATGTTTCCTTTTTTAATTTTTTAAAACAATAAACATTTTTACTTTATAAAATAATTTAAAAACACATGTGATCATCCTTGTATGCTACATTATTCATTGTTATGAGGATAATTTTACAGCGATGTCCAGAAATGTTTGGAGCCCCATTATGGTGTAATTAATAAAATTTGTTGCATTTTTTATGTAAAAACAATTAAAGTATGTTTTACTATCGCAAACTTCAATTTTATGTGCAACTTTGCAAGTAACATACATTTGAAGATGATTCGTCGAAAGTCCTGTTAATATCTTCCATTAGAAATTCGCATGTTTTAAGACATTATGATTATAAAAATCACATTTGTGAAATGCATGTAAAAATAAATGCTTTAGAAGTGGTGACACAATTAACTTTGATTATTTTGGTTGCTTTACAATATATTCCAATGTTTTGTACACAATAAGGTAAATTCTTGAAAAAAATCATTTACTTTATACGAAACATGGCTTATATTGAAACAGTGTTTGCTTTTATTTTAAAAAAACATTGTTTCTTTCATTTCTCGCTTTGTTAGTCAAATATTTCGGATTCTGTTATACGGTAATTTTACAATAACGCTCATTCCAAAGTTAACTTTCGGTATCTTTCAGCTCTGTTCTCTACCTCTCCTACCTGTAGCCTTTTTGAATCTTCAGCCCTTAATTTCGGTCTCTGAAATGTACGTTACTACAATTGAAATGTACGTTACTTGTTGTTGATGTTAATGTAAGTGAGAAATCATTGTTTTGTAGACCTTTATTAGTTCAAACACAAATGCACATTTGAGTGTGCAGATGCTAGAGAAAAGAATTAAAAATGTTCAATTTCATTCACAACTGTTCAACTTTAACAACCACATATTGTTACTAGTCCCAATTTTTGGGTAAGATAGGAAAAAAATGCCTGAATAAAATTCATATGCAACTGATGGCAAATACAGTTTATTTAATTTGTTTTCGTTTCTAATTACCATTCTTAACTTGTTATTACATGAAAAACTTATTCATGAAGTAACTTTTTTAAGAATTCAGGAGATACTCTTCATTGAATTACTAATACTTAGTTTTGAAAATGTACGTTACCAACAGTAAAACGTATACATTTCATGGTACTTTTTTAAAGCAGAAATATACTTTCCACTACTACCTTTTGTTTTACATTGCTAAAAAAACATGCTATTCACATCTCAAAATCCAGCAGAATGTTTTCAAGATAGATATATTTTTATATAATAAAATGTTTTCTAATAATTATATTGTGATTTATCGTATATCAAACATGAGTTTACCTTAAATTATATCCACAGTGACACAATGCAATATTTATTTTAGGGGTTATTGATGTTACAAAATTCTTTTCTCCATATAAATTTTCTTACCTAAGGTATTCATTATTTAAGTGTAAGGCGAATATTTTTTTTAAATTGCGGTTTAACGTTTCGTTGCGGTGAAAACGTAACATTTCTGACCAACTTTTCAATGCAGAATCTGGACACAGTCCCTTGAGCAATTATAAACAATTCTCAAACACATAAACTTTCTTATTTGAGGGAAGGCTTTTAACTGCTTGACACAATCTACCTCTTTACATTTTCATCAGTTTTTCCTTGTAGGCATCAGTAACGTACGTTTTCGCGGCAAAAAAATTACTTTTTTAATTTTTCTCAGAAAAATCATCCGTCCATTACGGCATTCTTATTATTTACCACCCTTTTATAATACATTATTTTGGCCAATATGGCCAATTATCTTGCCAGAAAAATTTCAAACTTTTGAAAGATCTTATTTTTTAAAAATATTTTTCTTCACTTGTTTAAAAACGCCACACTCCCAAAAGGCATGTATCAGTGGAAAAGGAAGAAACAACAATTTAGTTTACATTTTTATCATAGTTTTCAGTATGTTCCACTGTTAAATTCACGCTAAGGCATTGTGAGATACAAAAAACACCAAAACAATTGTTTTATAAAAGACCAATTGAAACATGAAAAGATTTAAAATTTTCATTTTCTTATAGAGACAGTCACGTACGTTTCATTTTAAAACTATTGTGCGATAAATATTTTTTCAAATCATGACAGTTGACCACTTTTTTGTTTTGATTTATTTAAAACGGAACAGGTGCTTTAGATAAAATATATAGCACATAATAAGACAAATATGCTGCGTGGAAAGCGTTTTTATCTATTCTGTAAATGATATTGAGAATGCGTGTGATAAGCAATCTAGCAGTAAATTGCATGGACACCAGCTGACAAGAGGGGCATTTACAATAGACACTGTTAATTGGCATTACACTACACATTGTTAATTGTCATAATGATTAAAAGCAGCGGCCAATTTTTCGCACCCGTCCTTAACCAAGATGGGTCAATAATCTGTGAATAAATTATAGGATTATTATTTACACTTAAATTTTTATTGGTTTTTGATTAAGGAGGGTCATGAGTCTGTGAATAAATTATAGCGTGAATTTTTGGCTGAAAAATGACCACGTCTTATATGAGGGTCTTCATAAAAATCCCCAAATCATGAGCCAGAAGTAAGGAGTGCGTCTTATAAGTGCGTATGTACGGTAATGTCTTCTTATTTAGAAACTCACCCCCAATTTCTCATTTATCTCCTGCTTGTATACTTTTGGCATGGCAGCTGTATTCTCCATTAGCCAGAACACATGATTATACCCTTCACAAATCCTTTCAATATCTTTGACAATTGCTGCAAAAGTCCATACTAATTTACCAGTTCCATCTGAAATATTTAATGAGTGGATCACAAATGGCTCTTACAGTGCTCACCTGTATATATCTATATATCATGTTCAGAAGAGTGCAAAAAATAAATCTTAAAGAAGATGAAGATTTTTTTGTAATTCCTGACTTTTAAGCTTGATCGACCATTTTCAGTGCTTGATAGTAAAACAAGAGCCTGGAGAATATAGAATTTTCTGTCCTGAAAGGGTCATAATACTGTCAATATCCATGATAGAGTTATAGGCCTTGAAAAAAGACCTCTTATTATGCCCTCAAATAAGAGGGTGGAATTTCATTGCATTCAGTAATTATTGAGATATCAATTTGCAAGTAAAAACTTAACCAAAGTGCGAGGCTCATGCCAATGCCTGGGTTAGCAAAATAGATCACCTTATTCTGTTTTTCACAGTTGAGCTCAACATGGAGACACAAACAGTATAATATCTGGATGGTTGTGCTATTACTGGCATGGCTTAGAAATTATACTATATGTTGGCAAAGGTCTGTGACAATCCTTGCTCAAATGGTTAAAAAGTTTACAGAAAAATGTCATAAAACCAGGTTTTTGGTCATTAACCATTGAAATACAATACCATTATTTTCTTAATTCTATAAACTGGGTTTGACATCTCACCTACACAAACAATGACAGGGCACTTACATGTAATTGAACAAGACTTTGTTACAGAGTTACCAACGTCCCCCCCGCCTCAGGGAAGTTTTATATGAAGCATAAAATTGTGCTATTTAAAAAGATTGAGGTATGCATCTCAGGATTTTCAGTCCAAAATTATTATCAATGCTAGATCTGCAAATGCAATAATACATTTATTAAAGAAATAAAATGAACACAGATTTTAACTAGAAATGTGTCCATAGGACACGGATGCCCCCACACGCCACTGTTCTGTCAATCTTATGACTCTTATTAGGTCAAATATTTTTTGGACTACATGTGCCACAAGTTGAAATCAACAAAGGGCCATAATTCTGTTAAATTTGGTCGTAGCAAAAATTCCTTCCTTTACTGCCATCTACACATTAAGGTTGTTCATCCCTGAAAGTTTAAGCAAAATCTGCCATCCGGTTTCAGAGGAGTTGCGTTCACAAAATTTCTACATAGTTTATAGTGAAAAAAAATCAACAAAGGGCCATAATTCTATTAAATTTGGTTGCAGCAAAAATTTCTTCCTTTACTACAATCTACACATTAAGGTTGTTCATCCCTGAAAGTTTAAGCAAAATCTGCCATCCGGTTTCAGAGGAGCTGCATTCACAAAATTTCTACATAGTATATAGTGAAAAAAATCAACAAAGGGCCATAATTCTTTTAAATTTGGTACAGCGAAAATTCCTTCCTTTACTACCATCTACACATTAAGGTTGTTCATCCCTGAAAGTTTAAGCAAAATCTGCCTTCCGGTTTAAGAGAAGTTGCGTTCACAAGATTTCGGGACGTACGGACGGCCGGACGGACAAGTGCAACGCTATATGCTCCCACTTTGTGGGGGCATAAAAATCTATCATGTTAAGCTTTGACCGCTAAGTGTGACCTTGACCTAGGGTAGGGGTGCAGGTGCTGTGCATGACATATTGTCTTATTATTTTAACTATTTGTGCCAAGTATTTTCAAAATCCCTTGAGCTATGAAGAAGTTGTAGATCGGACACAAAATAAACCCTATAATAGACATGTTAATCTTTGACCTCTAAGTGTGACGTTGGAGGTAGGGACCCCTGTTTTGCGCCTGACATATCGTCTTATTATTGTGATTATTTGTGCAAAGTATTTTTAAAATCCCTTGATCTGACCGGACACAAAATATACCATATAACAGACTATGTAAATCTTTGACCTCCAAGTGTGACCTTGACCTTGGTGGTAGGGATGCAGGTGTTGCGCATGACACATCGTCTTAATATAGTGACTATTTGTGGCAAGTATTTTCAAAATCCTTTGATTTATGAAAAAGTTATGGCCCAGACACAAAATATACCCTATAACAGACTATGTTAATCTTTGACCTCCAAGTGTGACCTTGACAAGTTGGAGGTAGGTGACTGGTTGTTGCGCAAGACACATTGTCTCATTATTGCGAACAATTGTGGCAAGTTTTTACAAAATCCCTTCCAAGATAAGAAAGTTATGGACCGGACACAACATACACCCCCAAATAGACAATTTTGACCTTGAATGAGCAAGTGCGACTTTGACCCTGGAGGTAGGGGTCTGGTTGTTTTACATGATACATTGTCTTATTATAACAGATATTTGTGCAAAGTTATTTCAAATTCCTTTGATAAATGACAAAGTTATGGACCCAAACGAAAGTGTGACAGACGGATAGGACAGACGGAGCCTATTTTTATATCCCCCTTTTTCTTGGAAAAGGCGGGGGACAAAAACTGGTACTTTTGTATTGAGCCAAAAATCCCTTGACTTGAGAATTGTATATTATGCCTAGCAATCTATATATCTTCCTGCATTAAAAAATCTGATAACAAGAAAAAGTCATTTTTGTAAACCTCATTTAAAGTATTACTTACCAAATCCTTTTCTCCTTGGATTAACAATAGACAAGTCATTACAAGGTGGTCCACCAAGCACCAGGTCAATGGGACAAATCTTTTTCAGCTAAAAATACAAAGCATCACATCAAAAGGCCAAACAAACAAGAGACATAATGAAATTGGTTAAACATCAATTTTAATACAAAAGAAAATATGAAAATTGCCTAAATGAATACAATGCATCATGAAAATTGCTTTTTTTATTTTTAGCTCCTGTGACCTTGTTTTTGACCGGAGATGACCCATATTCGAACATATTCGACCTAGTAATCATCAAAACAATCTTCCTGACTGATTTCCAGAATATTTGGATCAAAACTGCAGCCACTAGAGTGTTAACAAGCTTTTTCTATTTTTAGCTCCTGTCACCTAGTTTTTGACCTGAGATAACCTATCTTCAAACTCAATCTGTATTTCATTGAGACATTCTGACAAAATTTGATGATGATCCAATCAAAACTGTGACTGCTAGACTGTTATCAATCGAATTGTTGATGACGAACGACGCCAGACATAGCCCCATCACAGTATACCTCACCTTGACCACTTTATAGTGGTCAGGTGAGCTAAAAAATCGCTATATACAAATACAATTGGTCATGAAAATTGTCTTTACAAATATAGGGGTTTATGAAAATTGGCTTTAACTCAAATACAAAGCATGCAGTATTTGTATTTTACTATATGTTATGCTGTCATATAACCCCCCAAAAGAAACATGATTAATTAAGTAAAAATCATAAAATTTTCATTAAATTTAATAACAATTGACCCTTATTTGTATGCCCTATGATAATATTATAATTAGCATGCTTATTTTTTTACAAATGAAATTTAACACATGTGTTAATATTGTATTACTATAATCCATTTCTCATTAAAGCCTGATACAGAGATCTGCCGAGGACGCGATTTCGCGCCATTGGCGCTAAACAAATGAGAATGGCACAGGAAAATCGGCAGCAAAGGGCCATGGGCGCATCTAAAATCTGTGCCAGACTTATAAGAAAACAAAACTGTCTGCTGGGTTATTAAGTCATCCAGTCAAAACTGGTACCAACAGCAACATGTTACCCATTCCCCTGTAATTACACATATTCTTGAGTTTATCCATTCCCCTATAGCTTTTGTTCACGTTATCTACTACCGCATTTCTTCTCATAAACCCTTACCCACACACATACTCATTTCTGCTACCATAAATTTAATCCAATAAAATAAACAAACAAAAATAATTTAATATTTAAAATGGTTATCGGTAACTGAAAAAAAAAGTGTTGCTATTTTAAGAAATGCTGTAAGTTACAGTATAATCTGACAGCTGTACAACTTAGTTTCCCCTAAGGTCACTCAAGTTCACGCAAGCTTTGGCTGATGGAGTGTATAAAAAGATGTCTATTTCGTCATCAGAATATTTGACAGGGTTATTACCAATCAGAGAAACATTTGTGCATGAATTTTTTTCATGATCAAAAGGTCTGTGGGCAAGTGTCTGTGATGTATGCTTTCTACACAGAAGCATACAAGGAGTAATAAAATTCGTCAATATACAGTGTGACAGGGACATTTGGTGCAAAGTAGGTACAAGTAATAGAAAGAGCATCAAAACACGAGGCTATTGTTGATCGTTTTGATGTTCTTTCTCTTTTGTATCATAGTCAAACATAAAAACACGTTTCCTGTTGTCACAATATGAAACCCCAGAAAAATGTAACCAATGAACAAGCATCTGAATATGACATTTCTGCCGCTTGCCCTTTCTCTGCCGTCACAATAAGTAAACCCCAGCAAAAATGAGCCAATCAATAGGCATGCTCTGGAGTGCAGGTACCTAATACCTGCACTCCAGTTTATGCACTGTGCATGTATATGTTTATGATTTAACTCTGACACCGCTCACATCATTCATGTGAAACGGCATTAACATCTATCATTGACACTTGGATTTCTGCAATCAATGACAACAAACTAGTAGGCACTGTTTTTCTTGATCTAACTAAGGCATTTGATTTACTTAATCATTCCCTTTTAATTCAAAAGATGACACAATATCAGTTTGCAGGGGAAACACTTAACTGGTTTAAATCTTATCTCTCAAACAGAACACAACAGGTCTCAATCTCTGGCAAATTATCAAGTGCTAAAGAAATATCATCTGGAGTCCCTCAGGGTTCTATACTTGGCCCCGCTCTATTCATTCTATATATAAATGACTTGCCTTTAAACCTTCCAAATACATCTACTGACATGTTTGCAGATGATACAACTGTCACCTCATTTGGATCGTCTATTGACTCAGTCTACAGATCGCTACAAAATAGCATTGACATCATCTACGACTGGTGTGCAAGAAACTCTATGCTACCAAATCCTCAAAAAACAAAAGCAATGATAATCTCCCCATCAAATATCATTTACAACACCATCAAATCAAGCAATGATTACATTTTGAAAATGCAGGAAAATGACATTGAATTTACTAACTCTGAAAAATTGCTGGGAATTCACGTGGATCATAGATTATCATGGAACTGTCAAATTGAATAGCTGATTAAAAAATGCAACTCATTACTGTATCTTCTCCTCCGTATCAAACAGTACCTTAACAAACAAATGAGAGTAGTTTTTTATAATGCATACATATTGCCACACCTTGATTACTGCTGCACTATTTGGGGAAATTGTAATGATGAAATACTGAACAGCATATACAAATTTCAGAAAGAGGGCCGCCCATATTATACTTGACAAAGACATTGATACACCTTCAGAAATATTGTTTCATGAATTGAATTGGTTAAAAATACATGACCGCATCCATTATAAAAAAGCAATTCTTGTTTACAAATCCATTAACAATCTATTGCCACATTATATGTCTGATTTATTTTCACATACAAATCACACAACTCTGAGATCAAACACTCAACAGACACTACATATACCAAAACCTAGATTAGAATTTTGCAGAAAAGCTCTTGCGTACTCTGGGCCTAAAATCTGGAACAAAATACCATTACATATCAGGCAATCAAACAGTCTTCCACTATTCAAAAAGTCATATTTAACATGGTGGTTCTCTGGTGGAAACCTCTGCTTAGATGCTATACATGTATAAATATTTGTTTTTATATTGGTTGAATATTTTTGTTTAATATGTATGTAAATTTTCAATTTTGTTACCATCCAATTCAATGTTGAATGTATGTATATAATATCAACTCATTTTTTAAATTTTTTTTCTCTTCTTCTTCTTCTTTTTTCAAGGTTGATCTAAAGTATGTCAGTGTTGATGTATAATAATGAAATCTACTTGTGTTATTATTTAATCTTTTATTGATGTATTATATTTTGTAAATTGTTTTGTATATTGTTGAGGCCCACAGGGAAGTCACTGGGCTTGCCCAACTGTGTTGCCTCATTAAATAAAGTTGTTACTTACTTACTTTTACTTACTTACACATTTTCAAGAGAAATGTCCCAAACTATGATACAATTAAATGGATAATGCACAGTATTAGACATTAGAAGTAAGAACCAGCAATTATGTGAATAAATTATGCAAATCAGATTTTTGAGCAGCCATTTGAAAAAATGTTTTGCCTGCAATTAATATAAGTTAGAAAGTTACCTTCTAAGAATTTTTTTTAAATATTGGTTATCTTCTCTGTTAAATACTGAATCATAAGTGAACCATTTGTCATAAAATATGATTTCAGTTCAATTATCTACAAACTTTAAACTGTCATTTAGGTCAATGTTTACTTATTTTCCCAAGGCCCATACATTTTCAGACCAAGTGGGCCCAGGGCTCCATTCTTTCAAATTCTCGGCAGATCTCTGCAGTGATAATTTAATTATGTAACAGTCCCCTGTTAAATGAAATTCCATGTTTTTCTTTGTAAATTGTATTGTAAAATGTCCCACTAGGCCTGTGTTTAATAAAAGAACTGATATGCATGTCAAATAATGTACTTATATCCCAGCAAACACAAGACGTCATCTTGACGTCAGATTTAAGTCAGGTTCTGACGTCGGATGACGGTCGGAAAAACGGTTGGATTTGAAAGTTTTTTTGACGTAATAATCTGACGTCAGGTAGACGTCAGAATCTAACCATTATTTAACCTTTTTCTGACCAAAATCTGACCATTATCTAACCATTTTCCGACCTCAATCTGACCATTTTCCGACCTAAATATTAACCCTTTTCTGCCCTAAATCTGGTCATTTTCTGACCTTCATCTGATCATTCCCCTAATCTTTTTTGTTTCACCACGTCATAAATATTTTCTGGCTAATCCTGATTTGATCGAATTTAATGTAACTCATTCTATTAAGTAACTTTCCCTCCAATGAAATGTATAACAGAAAACTAAAAGCAAAAATATGTTTTATGCTTTTTTAATTTGAAATAAAAATTGCAATTTTAAGCTGATACATACAATTTTAGTAAATTCTGCAAGGTTAAATAATTTTCATAAATTAAACAAAATAAAACATAAAATAAGTTAATTACAAAACAAAAAGGGATTACAAAAACAATGACATAAATGAAACTAAGAAAACATGTACAAATATTAAAGAACAAAATAATGTATGCACATTTCTATCAAAGTTTGCCTTATCAAATAAAATAATAAAAATTATAAATTAAAATTATAATTTTAAGAAAAGTTAAAAGATTCTGATAATAATGTTTCAAGCAATTAATGACAGATTTTCAGTATTTTAACTATATTTCTACAGCATTTCTAAAACATTTAGTGCCATTTTGCATATTTTGACCTCCTTTGATAATTGTCAGTAATGTATAAATTGCTGCCTTTTAGTTACTTCACAAAGTTATACTTTTAGATATCCATGAGAATTAGCACGAATTTTGAGGTGTGATGCTTTAAGAGATGACCTTCTTTCAGCACCCCTCGTCTGTCCGGAGGATATGTAGCGTTTGTAGCGTCCAATAGCGTGTGTGACATCATTTTAACTGAAAAAAAAAGAAATTTATGAAACATGTAAAAATAACAAGCAAAAATGTTTTCATGAGCAAAAATGTTTTCATGGTTATCTTAACTTAATGAACAATTTTGCTACCTTTTTATAAGAGAGCTTTAACAAAAATTAAAAGTAAACATAAATACTGAACATTTAAAAGGCCGCTTTTAAACTCCAGTTTAGTATGGATTAAAGTATGTTATAGAATTTACAAAAATCTTACTTTCATATGTTTCTTTTTTCATATTCACGTGTTTCTGTCCCTCCGACCTTTGAGAGCATGTCCAACACTTTAACTACCTGAAAAGAAAATTATATTCTAACCTATGTATATATTCTACGTTTGAAATAGAACAGTTACGCAAGTCTTAAATATTTCATAGTTTTAAATTAAAGATTTAATGCCGAAATGTCTGGAACCAAAACGTCTTGGGTTATTTGGGACCGGAACGTTTTGGGTTATTTGGGACCGAAACGTCTTGGTCCGAAATGCTCGAAATCGTACAAATTCATTCTCAATTCTCAGATTTTAACTGACAAAAACATCACAGTTTAAGAAAAATATGAAAACTAAGCATTCTCTTTGGTAGTACTGAAAGGCATATTATAAACTCTTTACAAGCAGAGTTAAAACATGTCAATTTTAAAAAGATTTATTATTAGACATTATCGCGAATTTGTGTGACATTTTACTTCAGCTGTTCAAATAATGATAATTAAATTTAAGAGTGCTTGCAATCATGCAATTATTTATCAAATACAAAGTAGAAATAAATCTAAATAAATTGAACTGACCTTTTTGTTCAAGAAAATCTATAATATTCACTTTATCAATGCATCCCGATTCCTGACCGACAGCCAAAACGTAACGCCTACGAATTTGAATTTCCATCCACGTGACTTTAGATTCGAATTATAGGTTAATTATGTTTTCTTTCCCTTTTCTGTCACTATGATTAAATGTTAAAGCACTATTAAAAAACTCGTGATTTTGATACATATAATGTACCACAAATGATAATATTATAACGTTAAATGATTGGAACTTGTAAACAGATCTGTGGCTATAAATAGATTTCATAACAATAACACATGTAACTTGCCTATATACAGCGCCACCTATATGTTTTATTAGGTTGCAGCGCCGCGATCTTGGTCTGTATTTATATAAGAACATTTCATTTGTAATCCAAATAACATTTGAAAAAAGTTTAAATGATTACAACAGCGAATAAGGATTATTTTTTGTTAATTTTTTACCTACTGTCAGGACACCGACCAGAACCTGACGTTAGCATGACGTCAAAAAGAAACGTCTAATAAACATCGGTTTTTAACGTCAGATTTACGAGACCAAAATCTAACATTAATCCGACGTTATTTTAACGTCATGTGTTTGCTGGGTAATTTTTGTATATTAATTATTTGTTGGCACTCTCTTTGCCGATATGTGAGGTTCAAGATAAAAGACACATCATACAAACCAATTGTCATAGTGCTTGTTAACCAATTTTTTACACAGTGCTTGTCAACCAAATTTATACATACAAACCATGTAGTAAAGAACAATACATGTAAACTCAAACACACTTCACTAAAATAAAGAAACTTTAATTTACTTCTACTTACTCTTTGTAAATCTAAGTTCAAGACATTGCCTACATGTTTCACTTCATGGTGAAGGCTTGACACAAGTCTAGCATGTTCATCAATCTCCGAGGCATAATAAACTTCCATGTCTAATCCAAGCATATCTAATGCTACTTTCCCTATAAATAACACAATAAAATCATAAATCATTCTTCATCAAGGATATCCTGTTCTGCATTAAAAGTAAAACATTGTGAAGTTAAACAAAAGCACCACTAGACTTTATAATTATGCCGAAAGTGTTTTTTTTAAGTAAGGATGAAACATTTGTAAGACATGGGAATTAAATAAAGTTTAACCTCCTTTAAAAAGCAATCCTCCTTTATAGAACCTCCATATATATATACAGTTGCTGTTTCCAAAGCACCACCATCAAGTTGTTATCTTGTGAGTAAAAATGCTACAACAGATGGATGGAAAGAGTCGCTAGGGGTATAACATAATATAAGCAAATTTTTTAGGGCATATAATTAATGTGCAAAATGTAAGTGAACATCCTATGAAGTTTGACAGTTGTAAAACTGTTAACAATATTAAGGTCATTTGATACTGACCTTTGACCTTGTGACCGAATTTAGATATGTATCTTTCATTCAATAAAGGCAATCATCCTACGAAGTTTGAACACTGAAAGCCGAATGGAACTTGTGTTCTTCTCCAGAAACCATAATTTTCAGTGTTCAGGTCATTTTGACCCTGACCTTTGATCTTATGACCCTAAAATCAATAGGGGGTCATGTATTGGACATGGTTGTTCATCCTATAAAATTTTACAGCTGTAGGTTGATTAATACTTCAGTTATTGAGCGAAAACCGTTTCCAGTTTTAAGGTAATAGTGACCTTGACAATTGGCCTTGTGACCCGAAAATTTGTAGGTGTCTTCTACTCAATATTGACAATCATCCTATGAAGTTTGAACACTGTGGGCCAAATGGAACTCCATGCTCCAGAAACAACAATATTCAGTGTAAAGATCATTGTGACCCTGACCTTTGACCTTATGACCCTAAAATCAATATGGGTTGTGTATTGGACATGGCTGTTCATCCTATAAAATTTTACAGCTGTAGGTTGATTAATACGAGTTATTGAGTGGAAACTGTTTTCAGTTTTAAGGTAATAGTGACCTTGACCTTTGACCTTGTGACCTCAAAATCAATATGGGTCTTCTACTCAAAATGGACAATCATCCTATGAAGTTTGAATATTGTGGGGCAAATGGAATTTAAGTTACGCTGGTAACCAAATTGCTAATGGATGGACGGACACTGACGAATGCCAGGGTGATATAACATTATAAATATGCTGAAATTCATTCAGGCATATAAAAAGGAAGTATTTTACAAATTACTTAAACTTAGCAGCACTTTTAAATTCACATGAGTTACAAAAGAGGTCAAAATATGCAAAAATAGCCCTTACTGCGTCAGTCATGCAGTAGAAATATTAGATGAATACTGCAAACCAGTCATTATCGCACGCAAGTAAATTATCATTTGAATTTTGAATCTAAATTTTAGCTTTCTGACTCTTAGTTCATTTTTCTCAAGTTTAATTTTCTTGAAATATTTTCACCCATCTGGAGGCATGTAGCTTTATAGTTCATGAAATATAATTTTGATAAATTGAGGTAAGACCAAGCTTTACATAGTCAAAACAACATTTCAAAGATTTCATACCAGTTCCTATGCCATCAAATAAGGACAACACTCTGATTTTCCTTTTATGTTCAGATATCAAGTAATGCAAATCTGTGCTCTGAAAAGGGAGAAAACAAGCAAGGTTTCAATCAATTTAGACGGTAATCTTCAACTGCTGTTTTTCTGTTTTTTACTTTCATAATGAATCACTGATCTTTACAGCAACCTTGATTTTGAACTGATATGGTTACTGCGTATCTTCTGCACATCATTTAAATGTAGAAAATATTTGAACTAGGTATATATTATACAGACACTTGAAACATTTCACCATAATCAGTTACCCTAACATACCCCTCAAAGTGAACAAGAACTACTATATCATACAGTATTATACATAGTGTCTCTATATATTATATCTACATCAAACAGGATTATACATTGTCTTTATATATTATATCTACATCATACAGTATTATACATTGTTTCTATATATTATATCTACATCATACAGTATTATACATTGTCTCTATATATTATATCTACATCATACAGTATTATACATTGTCTTTATATATTATATCTACATTATACAGTATTATACATTGTCTCTATATATTATATCTACATCATACAGTATTATACATTGTCTTTATATATTATATCTACATCATACAGTATTATACATTGTCTCTATATTATATCTACATCATACAGTATTATACATTGTCTCTATATTATATCTACATCATACAGTATTATACATTGTCTCTATATATTATATCTACATTATACAGTATTATACATTGTCTCTATATATTATATCTACATCATACAGGATTATACATTATCTCTATATATTATATCTACATCATACAGTATTATACATTGTCTCTATATTATATCTACATCATACAGTATAATACATTGTCTCTATATATTATATCTACATCATACAGTATTGTACATTGTCTCTATATATTATATCTACATCATACAGGATTATACATTTTCTCTATATATTATATCTACATCATACAGTATTATACATTGTCTCTATATATTATATCGACATCATACAGGATTATACATTTTCTCTATATATTATATCTACATCATACAGTATTGTACATTGTCTCTATATATTATATCTACATCGTACAGGATTATACATTTTCTCTATATATTATATCTACATCATACAGTATTAAACATTGTCTCCATATATTATATCTACATCATACAGTATAATACATTGTCTCTATATATTATATCTACATCATACAGTATTATACATTGTCTCTATATATCATATCTACATTATACAGTATTATACATTGTCTCTATATTATATCTACATCATACGGTATTATACATTTTCTCTATATATTATATCTACATTATACAGGATTATACATTTTCTCTATATATTATATCTACATCATACAGTATTGTACATTGTCTCTATATATT